GGAAATTCCGATGCCCCGAGTGTCAGGCAGAAATCGATTTACCAGAGGGAAATCGCTTCGACCTTTTGCCCAACAGCTTTTTTCACAAAAGTCTGTTAGGTGTCCTTGAAGCGGAAGATTGCCAGGCCATTTCGAGGCAACAACAGGAGACTTGCTTGCAACATACGGAAGAAAGACTGCGATATTACTGCTCTACGTGTGAGGCGAGTGTTTGTCCAGTTTGCGTCACCGAAAACCACCGAGGCCATGCGTTTGACTTGCTTGAAAAAGCAGTGCAAGAGGAGAAGAAAAACATCATGTCGACCGTCGAGACCATCAAGGAAAAGGCAGACTTGTTTCGAGCAGAGTTAAGAAAATTAGAGAAAACATCAGAGGATGTGGAAATGATTATTGCAATCGCTAAACAAGAAGTGTCGGAGGCAACGGAACGTATAATCACAAAGACGCGACAACAAGAAAAACAGCTCTTAGAGTCTTTAGAAATGACGCGTAGGAGGAGAATAAAGCGAATCAACTCGGCTAAACAAGAACTGGAATCTCTAGTAAAACAAATGAATGAAGCAGCCGACTTTGCGGAAAACCTGGTGCAGAGAAGATCAGCTGCAGACATCCTACAGAACAAAAACAAATTGAGGGAGAAACTTGAAGAGTTTCATGGAGTTGAAGTTCCAAAACATCGCCAGGCTACATTTGTCAAATTTACCGCCGCATCGCAACACAACTTTAAACTGGGTTCTATTCAAGTCTCCGAGAAGCCGCCAATCGCAGCTAAATCAACTTTAGAAGGACTATATCAAACTTTTCAGGCTGGTGTAGAAGCAAAGTTTACGTTGTGCCCACGGACATCTGGAGGGGAGATGAGTGACCACGATGATCTCAAAGATCAAGTCGAATTGCTACTAAAACCCGCCGAAGATGTGACAAACGTGACTGTTGATGAGGAGTACGACGGAAATGTTAGCCTAAAGTTTACTCCCAAAGTACCTGGAGCCTACAGCATTGAAGTGAAGATTAATGGCGATAAACTACCGACCTGTCCAATGATTGTGCAGGTAAAAGAACGTGAACTTGTTGTGGTCGGTGAGTTGGAGCTAAAGCTCTTTCCTAGGGACACGCTTAGATGGTTATGTGGAATTGCTGTGAATACAGAAGGCCAGATAGTTGTGACAGATGACTTTGGCGACTGTTTATATGTCTTTGATAAAGATGGCAACCATTTGAGAACAATTGGAAGCGAGGGTAGCAATACAGGACAATTTCTTTCTCCTGATAGCATTTCGTTTTTAAATGACGACGAAGTCCTAATTGCAGACTCAGGCAATTGCAGAATACAACAACTTAATATTCAGACAGGAACTGTTGTGAAAAGTTTTGGAAAAGAAGGCAGAGAAAAAGGAGAGTTTGATAGGCCAATAGACGTTACTGTGGATGATGACGAACGCATTGTTGTAACCGAGTGGGGCAATCATAGGATACAGGTGATGTCAAAGGAGGGGGAATCTATTTTCACATTTGGAGACAAAGGCCCAGAAAAACTTTTATGGCCAAGCTGCTGCACTCTTTACAAAAACATGTTTCTCGTATCTGATTTGGGCAACCACTGCATAAAAGCTTTTGATCAGTCAGGAACATTCTTATACAAGTTCGGCAAAGAAGGGAGTCAAGATGGACAATTTAACCCGCCGCGTGGTTTACTTGTA